GCCGGGAGTTGCATAATTTTGTAGAGTAACGTCCGGACTATCTACGCATGCAAAAAAGTTACTAACATTGTATTTTAGTTTTCTGAGAACGAAGTCGATTTTTCAAAGGTCCTCTGGAAACCCGGTCTCTGGAATTTTTTCAAAAGTTGCTTCCGCTTGTGAAAATTTCTGCTCAAGTCTTGGCTATTGAACAGCGAAAATCGCAGGTCTCTATCTCACTCCTATCAAAAGTTATTTAAAAAGTGGCACCCTGCACTGTATTTTGGTATGGATACTAGGAATACACCTTTCTTTATATCTCACTTGGAAACATCAGTTAGAAGAAACTAGTAAAAGGTGTAGGCAAATGTTAGGTGCGCTAAATCGAACTTTTAAACATGCACCAGAACTTATAAGACTTCATATATACAAAGCATGTATTCTTTCTGTGATGGGACTATTGCTCGATTGTTTTTGATAACGATTATAAGACACATCTTCACTTATTAACATCTATTCAAAAGTTAGCTGCACGTATAATCACTAACAACTATCACACTAATAGTTCTTTTCTTATTCAACAACTGAAGCTACCATATTTAGAAACTAGACGAAAATATTTCAGATCAGTCTTTTTCCACAAAAGGATTATAGGACGTACTGCACTATCTGCTTTCTCCCTTGTAAAACCTCTAACTACTCGTACATCTGAACCATTTTCAAATCGTTATGCTTGGGAGATACCAAAATTCAAACAAAAGAACACAAATTTCTCTTTTCTACCTAAAACAATTTTCCACTGGAATGTATTGCCTAGAGAGGTAATCTCGGAATTCTCAATTCAAGCTTTCAAACGTGCCTTGCGTAAACATCTACAGTTGTAATATCAGTAATCATAAGCCATTTTCTTTTCTTTTTTCCTTTTGTTTTATTGTTTACTTTTTTCGTCAAACTTAATTCCATGGTGTGACGCAGCCAAAGTTATTAGGCAGCTTTTAGTCATTACCACTGTCATTTAACATCACTGACTTAAAATAAAATTGAATTGAATTGAATTGATTTTGGAAGTCGCAGGTATCCTTCCACGCCACCAAGCTGACCTTGGATCACGAAAAAACGCTATGTACAATATACTACGGCTGCAAAATTCCGCAGGCAGTAACTTAAAAAAAGCTAATCATTCGGCTGTCAACTTTTTCGATATAAAACAAGCGTTCGATTCTGTGTGGCATGATGGCCTAATATACAAACTCTTCGATTTGAACATACCACTCTATATCACGAGATGGATCATATCCTTCCTAGATGAACGGACAGCAGCAATCGAATTCGAGAGTTTACCTTCGAAAAAGTTCAACCTGAAAAGTAGAACACTGCAAGGTTCACCTTTATCTCCACTTTTGTACATTTTGTTTACCGCTAACACAATGAATGGAATGCCAGATCACACGCAACATGGCTTATTTACCGACGCCCTGGTCGACCGATCTTACGGAAATTCTATAGGAATCTTATAAGAATCTATAAGGCAGTCGATGGAAATGCGTAAGATATTGATGAGATTCTTATAAGAAGGAATATAAGAATCTTGTAAGCTCCTGATAAGAATTCGGTAAGATAGATTATATAATTATTTTATAAGAATTCATAAGATTCTCATAAGAATGGTATAGGAAGGATATAGTACAATTTCATCACCTTCTTTAGTGATCAGTACTCTATATTCTACTGTTTCATACGTGAATAAAATAATTTTCTTTCCACTTATTTAATTTTTCTATAATAAGACCTTAGTCTCACGCGGACAGTCTCATGACTTGTCCTCACTGTCTACTGCTTGTAGGCCAAAAGTATGTGAGATGAGAATGCAGGGCACGACATGTTGCTTGTTAGTATAAATCACGTTTTTCCGAACTGATCCCTAGAAAAATGTGCGACTTGAGATCCTTTTTTTCTATAAAGATCAGATTCAATTCGGACTCTTTAAGTCACAGAAAATGGAGCAGGTCGAATACTACTTAGATGCATCAAAATTCTTTTCATATCTGTCTTAATAAAGCACTAGAAGCAATCATAAAAGAACTTCATCTACTAACGTAGATTCTGATAAAAAGCGGGATCTATACAAACGAGCAACATGTCGTGTCCTGCATTCTCATCTCGCATACTTTTGTTTTTCGAACTTCACTTTCTTTCTATAGTCATACTAGATTTGTTGTACTTTTCTTTGATTGCACCCTCATTGAGTGTAGTATAAGACTCCCACATTTTCCCTTGATATTTAGCTGCGTTACTTTATCTATTCCTGACTAGTAGTACTAACATCATATAAGTTAACCTTTGCATCACACTTTGCCGTATCAGTTATTTTTATTTTCGCTTTCAACTCAATCTTTCAATTCATATGTCACGTAACCGGCTTTTAAAAGGGTCAATTCTGCTGACTCTTACCGACGGTGACTCCGAAATTGACCAATGTGCAGTAATCAAAGCTGTTGGTGAGATTTTGGGGTCAACCGATGATATTGAGTCAATAGGTAATTTAGGTTCATTCAGGGAATGGTTCACTATGTTTAGTTCGCAAACTGCATAGCAAGCATCATTAAAAGAAAGTGAATTAAAAACACCAAAACAAACATTTCCTATACAATCGCCATACGAAGATATCAAAACCATCCGTTTACTTGGTATGTGGACAAGAATTAAAGATGATGAGATACAAATGCGGCTCCTTGGGAAGGTACTGTTGTTGGTATTGAATGCAAAACTCTTCCGGCTCCTTTTAGAACAACTAAAATCTTCATCCGTCGTTTTCCAACTAAACAAGTCGAGGTGGAGATTTCAACTGCGTACCAGATAAAATCCGTGATCGATGTCGGCCAACAGCTGTCACTTGTGCATCATCATACCCTTCACTAGTCCAGGAACTAATTAAACCATTCCAACTGTATGAGTTATTTTGTTCGAAACATCCACACACCACCGTTTACTGGTATCATAACCACACATAAAATATCCATAGTCGAATTGATCTTTTCTTTGAATCCAAGCTGATTCCCAATATTACGTATCAAATATCGTATATACCAATCAGGTTATCTGGCCATGATAGTATCACAATTACGTTAAATATACCAACAACAACTTCAGCATATCAACGCTGGATATATAATTCCGAGGTAGCCAGTAGGAAATCATTTATTAATCAATTTCATGCGATCTGGAATATTTTTCTAAAAACTGCCGATTTCCAGTCATTAGATTGATGGCCTGATTTCAAATCTAGTCTAACCGTATTGTTGCAAGACGAAATGGGAAAAGAAGCACGACACCTACTCTGGAATCTTCAGAAATATTATCGTTCTCTGTCGGTTAATCCATGCGATGACAAAATGATTCTAATGAAAAATATAAGTCAGAAGATTCGCGATATTTTAGAGCATAAGGCCGTAGCCAATTTACCATGTATGTTCGAAAAGAGCGTTAGGTATGTTAGCCAAGTCTACATTAGCCAACTCTAGGTCAAATAGATCTCGTATTTTCTTCCTTCTTCATCCTACAAAAGGTCGAGTCACTACGGAATCTGAAATGTTGGACGTCGCAACTTCTTTCTACCGAGATTTATATAGTGAAAAATCTATAGACAACCAAGTCTGGAGAGAATGTCTGACGGTCTGCCTACAATTAATAATCAAGATCGAAAGAGTATGGATAAGGATATAACTGTCGCTGAGTGTTATGAAGTACTCAAGAGTATGCCTCTTGGAAAAACACCCAGCGAAGACGAAATCACAGTCGACGTGCGATTTTCCCTTTTATTGGCGAACACTATGTAACTTACAGATGTTAACGTAGCGATGGAGCGAGCACAATTTCGGCCAAAATTTCTTAATGGCATTTTAGCCCTATTAAAAAAGATCGGGCAGTGGAAGGTTCAATGAAAGGGTATAGACCATTGTCATTAACAAACATTGATTATAAAATTTTGTCAAAAGTACTGAGTCTGAGATTAAGGAAAGTCATTGTCTCAATAGTCCACTCTGACCAGTCATCCTCCATTCCAGAGGGAAACATTTGTGACAATGTACATTTGATTCGATCTATCATCGAACATTATTCAAGATGGGGTCTTAAATAAAGACCCCATCGGTATCATTCTTTGGGACCAAGAAAAAGCGTTTGACTTGGCAAACCATCAATATCTATTTGAAGTTTTAAATACTTTTGGTTTTGGTAAAAATTTCGTTAACCGGGTTAGGTTATTATACACGAAGATTACCGTTAGAATTATGATCAATGAATCCATTTTCTAGACCAATAACATAAATTCGCCCGGATAACGAACATCCTTGTCTTACGCCACAATCAAATTTGATAGGTTTTGTAATTGAGAACCATTACTCCACCGAATAAGAATGAATCTTCGCATACCAGGTATTATACCACCCCGAGCTTAGTATCAAACGGTAATGCGAATGGTGTTCCTCCGGGTTGATGTAGACCCATCTATTAAAGCAATTGCTTACGCCGATGACGTCAATACAATTGTCTTCAGCACTGATGAAGAATAGGAAACAGTTTATATGTTTGACCTATATAACAAAGCGTCGGGAGGTAAAACAAACGTTGACAAGACAGAAGTCTTTTGGATAAGTGAATGGTTACAACCGCCATCGCTCCAAGGGGGGCTCAAACAAGACTGGTGTACCTTTTTAGGGGTTCCAATCGATAGTAAAGGACAACTACCGCCAGAAGAATTAGTACCTATTGTCTCCAAAATAAGACAACAGATTATATCCTGGGCTTAAGTCAATTTATCGCTCATGGGCAGGAGCAACGTTTTAAAGATTTTTGTTTTTAGCCGATCCGTTTACTGCTTTTCCCTAACATCAGTACCAGATGAAACCGTAGATGTGTTACAAAGTATGATTAATAATTTCTTTTGGTCTGGTACGAGACCGTCGATTAGTCCCAAACCGATCATTGGAAAGAAAACGGATGGTGGTTTCGCGCTCTTGCATCTCAAAACAATGATTGAATCTTCTCGTATTAAATATGGTCTTCGACTAATGACCAACATCAGCGTCAAGTGGAAATTTTTTGGTTCGCAACTCATGGCTTCGAAATTATGGCAATCTTGTCCTTTTTTTTATTTAAGCTTTTATTGAAAAAGAAAAAAGAGCGATTGCGCAAGCGGCTTTCGCCATATGTGCGCTTTAAAATGCATAACAAAGGACGTAAAATGAGCCTAAAAGGAGAAAGGGAAAGAGAAAGCTCACGCAACAGATCGTCATTCGGGTTTTTGGATATTCACTTCTACTGTTCTACTTGTATTGGCAGCGAGGGAAAACGGAAACTTCTCAGAATCGCACTGTCCGTAGTATATATCGGCATATCTCGTTCAAAATAACTTGACTCTCACCCAAGCATCTCACACGAAGTCCCAATAAACTAGCCACCAACACACAAGCCAGGAAGCTCAGACCGGATAGCAGATCGATTCTTTCTAAAACATACGTTGAACAATCTAATAAATAATGCTTTACTATTTCATTAGCTCCCCGGCATGCACAAAGAGGGGATGAAACACATCTATTGGAGTATAGATTGGCATTTAGTTGGGGATTTCCATATTTCAATCGCATAAAAAGTATTTCAGCTTGTCGTGATGGAAAATGAGGCTTTTTTAGAAAGGGAATTCGCGTCGCAAATCCAAACAATTCTGTTTCAGCTTTTTACGTAATGATTTCGCCTTTAATAAGTATAATGTTAGATCTAATTCGTTCCATTTCTTAGAGAGTAGAGTAAAAAAAGAGCTATGGCGCGTATCTGCAGGTTGCATTATAGTTTGCGTGTTACTTCTTGAATTATGTACAGCATTAGTTTGCTGATTTTGTCTTTCTTTGTGGACAAACTTGATTCCTCATATTGCCGAAGGTTCAATTCTTTACCATGAGGTAGCAAGATGCACATCCAAGCGGCTGTCAAATGACGACGCATCTATCATACTTACCCGTTCAAAAAACCCGTCAATTTATTGGCAACTAATCTACAAATATCACTTTCAAATTCCTATTTGTTCCCGCCGCATACCTTACCTTACAACAATACAATTTTTTAGGTTACTTCATCAAACTAAATTACCAACACGAGTGTTTGATACCTAGATACGTTTAGCCAACTATGGTTTAAATACGCGATCGCGCACCGGGAAAACCGATCAAAATAAGATGTGTCTTTTTTGTGATCAACGCGAAACGTTGTACCACATATGGACAGAATGTGCGTTTTTCGAGCCGATATTCCAATCCTTAACAAACCGCATTGCCCTGGTCGGCGATGTTACTGTCGATCGGTGAAAAGCAAATTGCATACATACAAAATATCTTTCTCAGCACTCTGACTACTGCGCATCGTAGAAACATTATTTTTATCCTTGTTTCTTTTATTCAAATTATATGGTCTTTCCGGAATGTACTCCGGAAGTACTCTACCGGAATGCACCAAAAAACATTGACATGGTAAGAAGATGGTTTGAGTCTTTAGTAGTCCATCTTCCCTTTGATAACGGTTAACCATTACGATGTTCCCATCTACTAATCAATCACAGCCTCTTACCTTAACTTCTCAGACAGCTGTACTCTAATTTCAATAGTGTTAATTTGATTAATCGCCTTTCTTCTTTACATTCAACTGTATTTAACAATTTAATCTATACTATTTTCTCTATACTATTTTAATAGACTAGTCAGGCTACAATTTTCTCCTTCATACTGTATCTTTAACTCATATGCGATTAATCCACTTCCCTATTTCCGTATCCATAGAATGTTTAATGTATTACGACATATCTATACAGTATTTTTTCTTGCAACATTTGTAGAGTTTATCTGCTTCAGATATTCGGGTCGTGTGTCAGCATCAATTCAATTTAATTTCCGTTTTTTAATTTTCATGTTCAATTTTAAAACTCACATTTATACCAATATACCATCCGAAGAAGAAGAAAAAAATACTAGATTTGTGGTGGCAAATTCGGTCTGCAAACAGTAGACAGTGAGGACAAGTCATGAGACTGTCCGCGTGAGACTAAGGTCTTATTATAGAAAAATTAAATAAGTGAAAAGAAAATTATTTTATTCACGTATAAAATAGTAGAATATACTGATCACTAAAGAAGGTGATGAAATTGCACTGTATCCTTCGTATAAGATTCGGATAAGAATCTTATCAGTTTCTTATATAAGATTCTTATCAATATCTTACGCATTTCCATCGACTGCCGTATATAAGATTCTTGCAGATATTCTATAAGATTCCTATCTTATATATGATTTGATCTCTAGGGCAATACGGCACTCTGGTCAAGTTGCAACACTCTTTTGGGTTTGAACAGGCGACTTCAGGAATCTATAAATGTTTTTGAACGTTGGTGTCAGACCTGGAAACTAACGCTACAGTCGACAAAAATAGAAATGATTCACTTTACCACACATTCACGTAAACAATACTAAAATCCAGTCGAGGTGGCTGTGGGTGCATCAATAGTGCATCCAAAACCATTCGCACGATATTTAGGTGTTATTTTCGATCAAAGACTGTCCTGGAAAGAACACGTCATATATATCCAAGAAAAAGTCAGAACCTGAATTAATCTTCTCCTATTTCTATCCAAATCACAACCACAGTCAAATGATACAATGATGATCAATCTTTTCAAGCCTCTCATCAGATCTGTTTCAACGTCTTGTGCACCAGCATTTCTAAAAGCAGGCGAAGAAATATGGACTAAGCCTGATGGACTAAGAAATAAGAGCCTTAGAGCAGCTCTAGGACTGCCGCGCTACACATCTACTTCCTACATTCATCAAGTAAGCAAAATACAAAAACTAAAAGATTATAGTCAGACACTAACTGGATGAACAATCCTTAGAGCAGAAGGATATGAGGAAAATATTATGACAGAAAACCTACACACTCTTTAAATGTAACCAAGAAGCTAACTCTAGCTCATGTATCTATTTGTTTTTGGATTTTCTGACAAAAGATTTTAGTCAATAGTCAGACCTCTAGATAATTTTTCTAGTCTTCAAGTTTCGAATAAACTGTTGGTTCCTCATAATAGTCATGATAGTTTCTTTTTATGATAGTAAATATAAAAAAAAGTTTTTTTAATCCAAGCTGTCCTCTTCAAATGGGAACTAAGCGACCTTTCAATTAGACCTAGTGAAAACATGTATTAAGTGAAATAACTCATGTCTGCCTGTTTCACGTAAAAGTAGAAATTCATAGTTCAATCAAAATCGATTCAAACTTCGATAGGATATCAAGACATACTCTATTATATCTGTTCTATGTGATTCTGTACTTACAATTAGCAAAACATATTCATTTACTTCGGAAACGTACTAGAAAACCTTTCCAAAAACTAAATTATTTTATGTTGATTTCTTAAAAGTTTTCTTGAACTCTACGGTATAGTGTAGATTATATCTTGATATCCTAACATTGTTCGGCTCCATTTTGAGTGAGTTATAACTTTTCAAATTTTAGGAGAACACTTGGACTATCTAGTATCTTATTGAGAGAGCTCTTAGGAAACCGGTTTTTGAGAAATAATTTCAAAAATGTCTTGCTTATGAAGAGATAGAGTCAACTCTCGGCAATCTAATGGCGAAACTGCAAGTCCCTAGCGTCTTAAGTTTAAGAGTTAATCGTAAAACGATCACAGCCACTGCTTTTTTGCGGCGATAGTAGCTCCAGAAATGGAATTCATTATAGAAAAATTTTCAATACAGTATGAACAGAACGGAGAATTTTTCAAAATTTATTTAGTTCAAACAAGTCGAGTTTAAAATATCTATATCAGAAATGAAGAAGATGTAGATGCCAGCTCAGGAAATGCGTTGTGAAACTTTATATGAACAAGTTCTGGAAACTTGGAAAAACTGAATTTCGGCTACAAAAGAACTTTGTTTTTGTGGCAGCAGGAGGAGGAGCAGCAAATGCACACTTTTTGGGTGCTGAAGGCTGTCCAAAAGTTCTTGTAGCGATCTGTTATGCCAGAGCCAACAACAATTAGTAAATTACAAAAAAGGAGAATAAATAATTGTCTTCATTCTCTCTATCTCTCTCAGCTGTTTAATTATAGTCTTACCACTTATTCTTGTTGATAATGACCAGAACATATTAAAGCGCATGGATGTCATCATGTGAGAGGAAAAAAGCATAGCCCACAATTGTGATCATCTTTTCACAAAACAGTACCAGGATTTTCTATCATACAGTGGTCCGGTGTGCTTAAACAAACAAGCCGCAAAAGTGTGGAAGAATTCAGGATCTGAATGGGAAGCTATCAATGATAGGATAATTATGGTTCGTCTTGGATGTAAACCTATCAATATCACAGTGATAGCAGTGTAAGCAGTTTACCAATAAATCCATCAAAGGGCTCAAAGTGCAGCTTCGGATGAATTTTACAAATGTATACAGGAGGCCATGGATAAAGTGTCGAAACGTGATATGGTTTTAGTTATGGGAGATTTCAATGCTCGAGTTGGTTTACAACAGTCTCAAACATCCGGTGATGTAATTGGAAAGCACACAATAGATCAACAAAGCGAGGATGATTAACTTTTAGTCGACTTTTGCTCTCTAAGTAATTTAATAGTGACCAACACTTTCTTTCAGCATAAACATGTGCACCAAGCCAGCTGGATGCATCCAGGCAACAAACGTTGGCATTTATTGATTATATTTTGGTAAATCGGAAATTTCGTGCAAGTGTGCACGATGTTAGGGCTCATCGAGGAGCAGCCGGAGTTATTGGAACAGATCATCATCTCCTCCGAGCTAAGGTAAAAATTCATTTGAAAAGCCGAACGAAAAATCAACAACAAAAACGACTGAAGCTCGATTATCAGAAGCTTCACAGCGATACACTACAAAATGGTTTCAAACGGGACATTGAGCGGAGGAAGAAACAAAAACATGGATAACATTTCTATTCAAGATAAAAATGGTAAGATGTTATTGAACTCCAAGAACAGGTTAATTCGATGGCGAGAGTATTTCTGTGAATTATTGAATATACATGCAGTTATTGATCCAATGATTTTGCAACAGATTCCTATTCCAGTTATTGATAAAGCTGAGGAGACAAGACAGGATACATCACCGTCCTTGCCTGAAGTTGTGCAAGCAATCAAACAGATGAAAAGTTGAAAAGCACCGGGTGAGGATGATGTTACGGCTGAATTATTGAAAGCTGGTAATATGGAAATAGCTCTGTGGCTACATCAAATTATAGTTTGGTTTGGATAAACGAGGCAATGGTAGAAGACTGGACGATGGCTATACTGATTCGATTGTACAAAAATAAAGGGGATAAACGCATTTGTGACAACTATCGCGGTATCCCTTTATTAATTGGCGTGAGTAAAATATTCTCCCGAATTATTCTCAACCGAATACAGGGACTGCTGGACAAAAAGTTGCTAGATCAACAAGCACGTTTTCGACCAAACAGATCGACAATCGATCAAATTTTCACCTTAAATGATCATGGAAAAATCACCCAAATACAATTAATCATTGTTTATGTGTGTCATTGACATCCAGAAAGTTTATGATTCGGTTAATCGAGAACTATTGTGGAAGGTTTGTAGACATTATGGTTTGTCGGAGAAACTCGTTCGAATGCTAAAGCTTCTCCATACTAACACGAAAGCGCAAGTGCGAGTCGACGGTGATTTTTGCGCAAACATTCGATATTGAAACCAGTGTCCAACGAGGTGAAATTCCATCTCCCGTCCTGTTCAATCTCTTGTTTGACTTTATCATGCGTAAGGTATTGACTGAAGTAGGTGTATCTGGGATGAAACTGGCGTATGAAAGTGGTGATTTTTATCATTCTACGCGCGAGGCACATAAAGATATTGAAAAACTCGATTTGATATACGCGTATGATGTGGCGGCAACCTAGTGGGCAATCAGGCGGAAAAACGTAAGTAAGATTTTTCGAGATTCAAATAGTGTCATATATACACTGTTCAGGGGCGTCTATTCTGTGGGATGTTTGAGGCGCAATGCCTCAAACAAACGTAAGGTGGTACGCTTTTTTGCTGTAGAAATTAATTTTTTAGGTGGTACACTGAGTGATCGAACCTTCGAGGTGGTACAAAATGCCTCAAATATTTAGGTGGGGATGGACGCCCCTGACACTATTCAATGTTCGATTCAATTGTAAAAAGTTTTGATCCAAATGTTCAAGATGGCGGAGAAAGGTAAGTTTTAATTTTCGGTCACTTTTGCGAAACTCTCGGAAAAACCGCTTTCCTGTCTGAGAAGGCAGTGTTACTAAAAATTGAAACACATATTTTCTGAAAGCTGAGACTCTGTGCTATCGATTCGTAAAAAGCTTTTTTATTTATGCCGTTCCTCAGTGGAGAAAATCGTTCTTTTGCGATGCTAGATGTTTCCCAAACGAGGCATTCAGCAAAGTGAACGCGAACCAAAGCGCATCAATCGTATGACGATGAAATTTTCAGTAAATATTCTTCAAGACATGCCGGATCGACTCATACTAGCACATTTATGCGCAAATGATTTTTAATTGAGAACTAGGCTTTCTAAAAAACCTGGTTTTTTAGAGGTTTTTTTCATCACAAAAACGCTTTGGCTAAAAAGTAAGGACATATTCGGAATCAGCGTGAAAAACTGCATCTAATGATTTGGGTTTCAACCATGGTGAACCTAATGGTGTCATTTAAAAACTTTTATCATGGTTTTTTTGGGGGGTTTTCAGAGTCCGGGTCTTGAAATTAATGCAAACTAATTTAAAACAGTCTCATATTAAATTAATATGCATTAACTTTTTTCTGCTTAAAAATTAATTCAAATTAATTTAACTTGATAAATTAATTCAAACTAATTTTTAGTCAGAAAACAGTTAATGCGCATTAATTTAATATGAGACTTTTTTAAATTAGTTTGCATTAATTTCTGATTATTTCGAAAAGTTTCAGTGGGTAGTGGGCAACAGTTATACTGTAATTGAAAATCCAAGCATTATTTTACAATGAGACAGTCGAAATTGTGGGTCCATGAATCTGTTGTTGTGCACAACAATGGATAGCTACTAGTCAGTTTAATATTTTGGATTTGTAAAGACTTAATATACCAGAGATTCGTTGACAACATGTTCGATTTTTTGCCGATTGACTCCGATGATTAGTATCTACTTGTGACCCTTGTTGAAACATTTATTACCAAATTGTAGAGCTTTCTCAATGTCAACGGAAGCTTTTGCACAGTTATTGACTTTGTATACGATGATGATCGAATTGCAGTCGAAAAACTTGTCTATAGATCAGATGAACCCCGAGTTGGAACTGAGCACAAACAAAATTGTAGTCGTTGTAGAGATCTGGAAAGTATTGGCAGATTCAGTGTTGAAGCGGTAAAAATAATCCAATGGAAGGTAGAAGTCTATATCTTCGACAACAATTCCCAATTAAACTTGACTGGACAGCTACCGTCGATAAAGTACAAGGTGTTATTGTGAATGAACTAGTTTGTTGTACTGAAACACTCTTAGACCAGGTCATGGTAAACAATTATGGATAATTAAATGTCAAAAATGCCAATTAGAATTGAATAAAATAAGAAACAATTGATATCAATATTAGATGAAATACAGATTAAATAACTGATAAACTATGATTAGACCAACAATATATTTCAATTTTACTCTGTCTCACACGAAAGTATAAACGTTTTAACTTTATTTTTATCAACCCCATGTTTTTTCACTTATGGCAAACATAACTACGCAGTTTATTGTTGTTGTTATGCTGTGTAATAGAACCACATGTTTGTGTATTGTGTTATTTCTAATCATGTCTGCATATGAAAAAAAATACATTTCTGCTTGGTTGATCATGTCCCACGTAACACACGTGAAATCTACTCATTTTTGGAAATTATTAGTAACAATAGAGTATTGAAAAAGAAAAAACATTCAGATATTTGTGGTTATTTTGTATTTTGTGCTTTATTTCTCATAGATTTATTCAATGGCTAATTTTCAAAAAATGTTTGACGATGGTCAATATGGTCCAATGCGGTATGGTCTATGTTTTATACAAGGTCACCGACATGAAATGGAAGATACTCATGCAATATTTATGCAACTGCCTGATTCTAGCTTATCAAGTTCGTCTTATTTCGGTGTTTTTGATGGACATAATGGTAGTAAAGCAGCGATTCGAGCCTCACAATATTTACATAAATATATTATTCAAGCTCTAAATAGCACTGCTCCTAATAATGAACAAGGAATAATCGAAGGACTTAAAAGAGCACATATAAAATTCGATCATGATTTAAGAATGGAAGCTAAAAAAGCAAATGACAATGATGATAGTGGTTCGACCTCCATTTCATGTTTAATACATCGAAATAAAATATATTTAATGAACCTTGGTGATTCTCGTGCTCTTATTGTAGCACCATCGGGTAACATAGTGGTGCAAACGAAAGATCATAAACCTACGGATCCCATGGAAATGTCACGTATTCAACAGGCGGGAGGTAAGTTGCTTGCACTTCTCTTCTATGTGATCTCACAACATCTTTTTCTAATCATAGGACAAGTACATCAAGGTCGAATTAACGGTGTGATAGGACTTTCTCGTGCATTCGGCAATTTTCTTTTTAAAAGTAATACTCGTCTCGCTCAAGATCAACAAATGATAATTGCTAAACCTGATATTTATCTATATTCTCAGATTCATTATCCAGCATTCATTGTATTAGGATCTGATGGTATATTCGATTGTGTTAGTAATGAACAATTAACTTCTTTTATAATAAGTCGTTTACGTTCAACTAATCATTTATCAGATATATGTCGTGACATATTGGATTTATGTTTACGTAGTGGTAGTCTAGATAATATGACAGTTATATTAATTACGTTTTCATCTCCAAAACAAGACTATAATCCACAAGATCAGCAACCACTTGTGAGACGTAATTCACAACTTTCTGCACCATCAGTGAATTTCAATACAAACCCATACTATCAAGCTCCAGAAACATTACCTTTATCACCGTTAAATTATCCTGAAAACTTTCAAGATTACTCACACCGAGTAGGATTATTTCAATCTTCATCAGAATCACTCATACCTCAAATCATAAATATTGATAAAATAAACGAAAATGTGCAGAGGCCACCGCTCTTTCAACGTACATTATCGCCACCGTTCTTTCAGCGTACGCTATCGTCACCGCTCTACCGACGTACTTTATCGCCACCGATCAGACCAGGTCCTGCATTTGATTTATTTCAAGGTTTTCCAAATTAGAAACAGTTCATTTTATATGCGTGCTACTTATACGCTAGTAATAAGAGAACCACTAAAAGAAAGAGCTAGAATCTAGTCGTATTATACTACCTGAGACGAAAGCATCCATCCCACTCCGGCTCTTTTTCCTCTTTTTTTCTATAAATCCTCTTTTTGGCCTCTTTCATTAGAATTTGCGAAAAATCCTCTTTTTTCACGAACGATCTTTAGAGATTCTAGTTTTCTCCAGTGAAAATCGAGTGTTCGCTATGTAAAAGTGAAATCGGAGTTTTTCATGGTGAAATTTAGAATTTGACTAGACGAAACTATTTTTTGCACTTCTTTTTCTTCTCTTCCACCCTCCCCTCCAATGTCGTACTCTTCATCACATAGAAATATCTGGATAATGGAAGATGTTATATTACTTTTCACTTTTATATCGTCCAGTCGGTCCAGTAACGGATAACACTTTTAACAACATCACTACTTTATATAATAGCAATACAGCTATTATCTCTTTTTAATCGACGTAAAAACAAGAGAAAGATAACAACTCGTCAACAGACATTTCTGTGTGAGGTGCCAAATGCATTCCCGTAACTCATTGTGCCGAACATTTATGGAAAGTTTCGTCAAGATCGGATGTACGGTGCCGGAGATAATTTCAGAGGGGGGGGGGGGGGGGTTACCGATATGTGGGGGTGGTTTTAACTGGTTTTCAATTGTTTACATACTACTTTTNCCCCCCCCCCCCCCCCCCCCCCCCCCCCCCCCCCCCCCCCCCCCCCCCCCCCCCCCCCCCCCCCCCCCCCCCCCCCCGTAACGATATCTGTTGGTTCTTTTATCATCTTTTCACTAGTTTTCATACTACTATTTTCATATTATTATTATTATAGAATTACTACGCCAGGCATTAATACGCTGAAGCAACAAAAGGTTTATGTAATAGTGCATCCCACGTACCGGTTATCTTCTATGTCTAAGTTCTGAAAAGAAGTTGTTTCCATTAGGCTTTTTCTTCTATTTATTATAACAGTTTCTAGCTTTTGAGCATATGATTAAATAGAGAAATTTTTGAGATCGTAATAATGTCATTTTAATTTAACTCTCGCTCATTCTTACGGAAAAAACCAAACTGCGAAAGTATAATTATTTGTGAAATGCTTGATCCCTTAACGATGATATTTTAACTATTTAACGGTTAATTTCGGAGCTGTATAATTTTTATTTCAATCGAAAGCCCATGGACTTTTTCACAACATTGCCCACAAACGTTGTCTCGTAAAGAATTGAGATTAGCTTAGTTTTCGACAACTTGAAATTGTTTCGGAATGACTGTTTTTGGTGATTCAGTAACCATCGATATTTTTCTTAAAAAACTCGAGCCATATATTCAAACTTAACCGAAATTTTGGAGATTGTTGAGCACGAGATTATACGGATTTGGTCAGAATTTAAGCGTCTAATCTTCTAAACTGACTGAGAAATTGCAGTCAGAAGCGGAAAATCGTGATTCCGCTACGATTATTTTGGCCGTACTATGATTATTCATTCGATCAATTGAGATTATTGATAACTGAATCTTATTTTGTACAGAAGCGAAACCTTTCCTATAATGTAACTTCTAATCATGCGCCTGATTTCATAGTATTTTTTCATCATCAAGTTACATTCCTGATTCTAAGACCTTGACTAATATCCTGCTATAGATGACAATGAGAAACCCTTGATACTGTATAACCCTTTGAGTCCCATAGTATAAAAAAGCTACACTTGTTTTATAATTATTTTTCACAACTTAATTTATAAAAAGTATTACGTAATCTCTTGGAATGAAGCAATGGAGCATTAGCTAATAAATAGCAAATGCACTTATGTGGCACTGTC